CTCCTCCACACCCCACACCACCCCCCCCCCCCCCCCCCCCGATTGTAGACTTCTTCGGGTGTTCTCGAAACGTAAACTCTTCCTCTTGCAGGAAACAGCGTCAGGGACGACAAAACGCACGCGATTGCAGTTGTCTCATGTCCAGGGTTTATGGTCCTGACACCAGCGTTTACGCATCTGAGCATTATTTTCCCGCGATGTGGCATTTGTGAATCGGACAGTTTTGGGGGAAAGAAGGCCTTCAAGATGAAAGTTCAGTTCCACTATCACCTGTGCTAAAGTTTTCTGTGATTTTTCGAGACAGTTCTTCTCAATGTACGAAGATCTGTTTCTGTAGTTGCTGATTTCCGTCCACTGTCCCTCTTCTCTGATGTTATCTTCCCACCATTCGTGTATGCCGACATAACCTCAGAAACTGTCGCTCTCGATACAACTAATAATGTTCCCGTATTTGTCACGGATGCTCCGGTTAAATGCGCACCAACGATTTGTTCTCTTTCAAAATCGACCAAGTCTTCCATTTTCTGTTGCTTTCACACGGACTTTCACTCACCACAATCACTAATTCACTTACACGAGCACTACAGATTGTAAACAAACGGAAGAACGTTCAATGTTGCCAACTGAAGTTCTTTCAATGTAGCAAATTCAAACATTTTCTATTCCTCAATTACTTAGTGTTTCCATTATTTTTTCCACCCCCTGTATATTGACGTACATATGTACCTGCAAGCTTGAATATATTTATGCATGCCCGAATACATACGTAAGTACATGAATATCTACGGTTAAATACATTTACTGCCGGTCACGGTAGCCGAGCGGTCTAAGGCATGCACTGTCTTCGCTCGCTCGGAAGCCGGGATCGTGGGTTCGAATCCCACTCAGGGCATGGATGTTTGTGTGCGTTTTTCTGTGTTTGTCTACATGAGCTGATCACCCGCCCAAGGAGTCCTACCGAATGTGTAAGATCTAGAAAAACCGAAGTGAACGGAGAAGTTCATGGAGGTAGGCCTAGGCCCACTGGGGCTGTAGTGTCAAGGAAAAAAAATACATTTACAGTTACTTACATCGTACATGCAGGCACATACTCGTACATGCATGAATAGACGCATACGTATATAAAGACGTACATACATACATACACACACATATACACGCCAGTGTTTGTAAATCTTGCCGCTCTAGGATGTGCACTGTCTCCACATTCCATTATGATCCGCTTAATATCTTCAAGATACAAGTATCTGTGTTTCCAGAAGATCATGCGCGGCAGAAGCACTGCAACAAACAGTGGGATATCTGGAAAGATTGCTGCGGTGTCTAAGCCCTGCATCTTCGCCTTTGAGAAGTGCGAGACAAGGATTTAGTGAAAACAAGAGCAGTGCGAAATGCTTCTGAAACCTATCCTACTCCTCAGCTGTGGGCTCCTCTCCCCTTTATATTGTCGTCAGTTGCGCTCTAAAATACCAAGATTTGTTCTGTCTATATATTGCCGATAGACGCTCCGGATAGTAGATGTAAGTAGATTTGAATAATGGTCCATTTTTTCATGAGCTAAATACCACAGGAGGTAGCACTTGAGTAGAAAGTTTCTACTTGGAGACCTGCATATTGTACTGCGGCCATAACATTGGTATCTGCTTAGCCATAGAAGACTTCTCATGCTTTTCTATACAGTGACTAATGGATATTTCACTCATCAGTGAAATCACTAAAACCAAACCACTCGGTCTATAACCTAATCGGAAATAATGACAATGTACATGTTATTAAACGGTATACCTTTAGAGACTAATTTCCTTCTAAACACTATATAAAACTTCAGTCCGTACCTCATAGGAAACACATTACGTCTCTGCTACAAAGCGCAACCGGTTAATGCTGTTTAGGGAAGCAGTCGCTGTTTATTGTGAGAACCATACGGAACACACAAATACACTGTGTGGGCATGCTGCAGAGTTCTAGTATGTTAAAGTAGGTGGTACGTATAGTAACCTATAGGTTCTAAAGGGTTAAAGTAACTCTTGAACACGTACCCAGTTTCTTGGAGACACGGGATAGCGTAGTTGGTTCAAGCACTATGCTGCAATTCGATAGGTCGCGGATTCGATTTTCGATTAAGTCATTGGATTTTTCAGCTGACCAAATGCTTCCAGCCACACTGTGTCCCTTGGGGTCTTCTTATCCTCTAAGAGAAATGAGTACAGAGTGACCGGCGCGTAAGGATGACAAACTCACCCCCATCTATGAGCCGATTTTCTAGAATATGTGGGAGCCTTGATGTCCCACAACTGTATGGGCCTCCATCGCCTGTTGTAGAGGTAACTCTGTTTTACTTACACCTAATTTCTTGACTATTTTAAAATATTGTACCACAAAATAAGGCACGTGTATCTGACAGATATTTCCGAGTCCACAAGAAAAAGTTTGACTAGCGTAATGACAGCCGCCGGTCACGGTAGCCGAGCGGTCTAAGGCGTGTACTGTCTTCGCACGCTTGGAAGTCGGGATCGTGAGTTCGAATCCCATACAAGACATCGATATTTGGTATGTGTATGCGTTTATTCTGTGTTTGTGTTGTCCTGTGTTTAGGAAGAGACCTTGCGACGAGCTGATCACCCGTCCAAGAGTCCTACCGTCTGCAAAATGATCATGAAACTGAGAAATCAGCCCTATGCTCCGAAGTGGGAGCGAGAAGAGAGAACAATGACAGCCACCCTCGCTTGACGTACCAACGTAGTCATCCTCCCACACGTCATGAACCTCTAGCTAAATTAGTAGTTGTTGAATTATTATGGCTGTACGGCCCTTTGTTGTGCCTTGTCCGCTTTTTCAGTTTCTTAATCCTATACACAGTCGGTAGAACTCCTTGGACGAGGGATCAGCCCGTCGCAAGGCCGCTACCTATTCACAGGACAGCACAAACACAGAATAAATGCACACAGACATCCATGCCTTGAGTGAGATTCCAACCGACGATCCCAGCGTTCGAGCGGGCGAAGACGGTTCATGCCTTAGACCGCCCAGCCACTGTGGCCGGCAGCAGTTGTTGAATGCTGTAGGAAATGCATACAATTACATCGGGCAGCATTACCAGAGGAAAGTGTTACCATGAAGTTTTAGAGACTGTATCACTGTTTTCATTAATTTGTATCGAAATTTATTTTTAATTCTTTTCCGTATCGACAATTACGCGGCTAATCACATAAAAATTGCCCAGCGATATTTGCGCTGAACCTACTATATAAAATTACTGACAGAATTCGAGAGTAGACAAATTTCCGTGTTACGGGATATGCAATCAGCAGTGGGGATTTGAGAAAGCTTACATAATGTATATTTAGTTACTGCCGTACAGTGTAAGCCTCCGCCTCGATATTTAGTCCCCATGTCCTTATGTACAGGCAGAAATGCCATACGTAGACACGCGTGTATTCATGCGTGACACAGCATGAACTGTGTGCTTGTGAGTCAGTAGACAGAATTCTTAGCTGCTGAAGTGTGAACATTGTAATATCAGTTTTTGTCTGAAAATTTCAGCAAGGAAAGTTCGTGTTCTCCTTTGATCATAAGAAAAATTAAAGGACCTATGTCTTATACCGTTTTCTGATATTGTAAAATTCAGTTATGGGTTTTGGTGGAAGAAATTATACTAACATAAAGAGAACTGGCTTTATCTCTATTTTTTTTCAGAGCAACATACTACAGGTTTTCGTAGTAAAACAATGCAATTCGAGTTATAACATCTATGAATACAGTGTTAACACAAATATATTGTGTACAGAGGGTTCAAGAGGAAAGGTCAGTATTCTGGGAGGTCATAGTATCGGCCCATCTAAGCGAGAATATTTATATGTACATGTGTCCTATTCGGAACGGTTTCCGAAATAGCTAGATCACGTCTACGTGTCAGTTGATATGGCCAGTTCTTTCTGATGGCATCCTCTGTAGTTGTCCCAACCAGTTTCTTCTTCTTCCATGTATTTGCTTTTCCAACTCCTTCATCCCTACGCCTCCGCCCCTCTTCTGCTCCTTAACTTAGAAACCGCTCCTCTGCTACCACCAATCACCTTCCATTCTTTTCTTCAAAGAGTCCATACGTCAGGCACGGCTGTGCCAAGGAACTATTATAGCATCTAAACCGTGCGCCTCTGTGGTCTAGTGGTCAGAGTTCCTAGCTACAGATTCAGAGGTCCCGGGTTCGATTCTCGACGCTACCAGATTTTCTGAGAAGTAGTGGGTCTGGAACGGAGTCCACTCAGCCTCGTGAGGATAATTGAGGAGCTATATCAAGGAAATAGCGGCTCCGGTCTAGAAAACCGAAATTAACGGCCGTGGGGATTCGCTGCGCTGATACCCTCTATCCGCTAAAGTTGGCACTAACTTCTCCGACAGGCGGCGGTTGCTGGGTCAGTATAGTTCGCTTGCGGACTATAACCACGGAGTTTGCTTTGTCTATTTATGGCTTTACAGCCTTTGTGGCCCTTGGCCGCGATTTCAGTTTCTTAATCTATACGCAGTCGATAGGACTCCTTGGACGGGGATCAACACATTATAAGGTCTTTACCTACACGCAGAACAACACAAACACAGAATAAACGCACACACAGACATCCATGCCTTGAGTGAGATCCGAACCCACGATCCCGGTGTTCGAGCGGACGAAGACAGTTCATGCCTTAGACCGCGCAGCCACTGTGGTCGTGGTTTTGAACTGTGTATCTTTCCTTATTTTGTGTCACGAAGCTATTTTTATTGTTCCACAAATGTACTGAATTCTTTTAAGTTTATTATTTACATGTTAAGCGGTTGATGTGACGGCATCAGTAAACAAATTAGATGCAACATGTTTTTATTTACACACAGATATACGAGTACATTAGCGCGCAACAAACAGAAGAGCAGGTTAACAAGTGGTTACACATGGTTGTAGTATCCGCCTCCAATGTGATATCCCGGTCCGCCATAACCTCCATAAGCATGTGGGTAGCTGGATCCGTGGTGGCTCCCATGGTGTCCGTGCACTATGCCATAGTTGTATTTGTATCCCAGACCGTTGCCTGTATCGAGGGAAAACAGAGCGCGGGTTATACAAATTGTAAAACATCATTCTTCCATGTGTCACAATCATTCACTCGTGTTCAGTGTTCTGAGGCTTGCAACCGTAGTGAGGCCAGCACGGAGGCTAAACGTCATCTCTTTTAAGGCTACGATCATCTGGCATGTGACGCCGTGTAGTTTGATATCTTGGTACCAACATTTCGGAGGAACTGGCTGCTTCCAACTTCAGGCTAGAAATATATGCCACAACTTTTACTTTTCTGCCTTGAAGATGACGGTACCGTGTTCCTCCGAAACGCTTTTACTGATCAACTAGAGCATATCGAATCACATCCCAGAACTCGTGAACTTGGAAATATGAAAGCTTGAATGTTTCATTAGGTCCTTTACGATTTATATTTCGGGGTGCCGGAGTTTGATTCCCGGGCTTTACGTTCTAGCATCCCACTCAAATTACAGTTCCTAACTAACTAACTAACTAACTGACTAACTACAGGAAGCTGATCCATTCTTGAGAATCCCCGAATCGCTCAGTTACTTGAACATTTCCTAATGTTTAAGAAACGCGAAAGTTCATTACCGTGTTCACAAGAGCCCTTTACAGGTCCCTATCCTCAGCCAGATGAATCCAGTCCATAACAGCCCATCCTGTTTCTCCAAGACCCATTTTAATATTAATCTCCCGCCTACTCCTAGGTCTTCCTAGTGGTCTCTTTTCTTCTAGCTTTTCCTGCGAAATCCCATATTAATTCCTCTTCTCCCCTGCATGTTATATGCCCTTCCCATCTCACCCTCCTTGAGTTGATAAAATTACATCTGCTATAATATAGAATTCATCTGCTGTATATTAACTTTGTAGTTACAAACGCGGTAGCGTGTTTGATTGTGGCACTATGTTATAAGCCGGAAGGTTGGGGTTTCGATTCCCGATGAGGCCATTAGATTCTTTAATTGACTTAATCCTTCCAGCCGCACTATGGCCCTGGGGTCGACTCAGCCTCTAGCAGAAATGAGTACTAGGAATATTCTTGGGGGTAAAGCGCGGCCGGCGCGTAAGGCTGACAACCTCACCGCCATCTGTGAGACGATTGTCTACAAAATGTGGGAGCCTCGACGTCTCACAGCCCTATGGGCCTGCATGGGATGTTACAGGCATAGCCTTATTATTATTTATAATATAATATTACCCCTACTGAGTACTTATTGGCTAAATTTATTTCACCGTCTTTATGTTCAATATATATTTATACTTCCTGTCATTTTCTCTTGCATCGCCAACCTAAAGCCCGTTTCTGTGCCGATATTTCTAAACCTGTTGTCCGCTGTATGCTGCTTCCGTGAGAACACTGGTTCAGTGAAACAATTCTCTGCCTGTCTGTGAATCACATGAGACACACAAACACGTTCCGTGGGAGGGAGAAACGTAGTGTTTTTGTGTTAAATACTTATCACGGCACTTTAAAGCAGAGGAAGAAAGCGAAAGCATGAAAAGTGTTCGCGTGTAACTTCACGTGTGTAATTGCTTTCGGTACCGTGACCGTGAAAATAACAATAGGTCCTATTGTGGATGACCTTGAGGTAACCAAACTGGCACGGTAAGTAATAAAGAAATATTGCCTTATTCTGTAGTACACTAGCAATTTTGGATTAAGTTTACGTCCTGAGGATGGATGATCTGTCTCCATATTGTGGGCGTCCGAATAAATCGGGTTATGAAATTTCTGATATTGAGTGCAAAATATTTCAGAAATAATTTTGGAGATTATAAAAGACCTGACTTAATATTTCAAATCATATGGGTCTTAATATATACCATCTATTTTAATGTTAGGGGCTCGCAGTTGCATAGTTGGTTGAGGCAATATGCTACAAGCCGGAAGGTCGTGGATTCGGTTCCCGATGAGGTGGATGCTTTCAGTTGACCTAATCCCTCCAACCGCGCTATGGACCTGGGTTCGACTCAGCCTCTAACAGAAATGAGTACCAGGAATCTTCCTGGGGGTAAAGGGCGGCCGGCGCATAAGGCTAACAACCTCACCGCCATCTGTGAGCCGATTATCTAGAAAATGTATTTCGTAAGAAAATTCTGGGGAAAACATGGATCATTGGATCTCACTTGTCGCGTTTACAGAGCTTTAACTCTTGGCTCCAATTCCTCCTGTTCGTGTTCATGTGTGTTCTGAAACTGAACCCTTCATATGTACTTTTATTGTTACCATGGTTACAAATATTGGAAGTACAAGTTCAGGCACATGATTCGTTTTACGGTTATTTGCACCAATTTTGTTGAATGAGTTCTAAATTTTCTCGGAATATAAGCCAATGTATTTCCGACAGTTGTGTAGTGGTCAGCGTTCTTGGCTATAAACCCAGGGGTCCGGGTTCGATTCCCGGCCCTACCAGATTTTTTATGAGAAGTGGTGGACTTGGAACGGGGTCCACTCATCCTCTTGGGGATAATTGAGGAGCTTTTTCAAGGAATAGCGACTCAGGTCTAGAAAACCGAAATTAACGGCCGTGGGGATTCGTTGCGCTGATCACGCGACACCCTCTATCCTCAAAAGTTGTCGCTAAACTTCACCGACAAGCGGCGATCGCTCGGTAGGTATAGTTCGCTTGTGGACTCAAACCACGGAGTTGGTTTGAGTTTTTTTTTGTCTCCGGCAGGACTCTTGGAATCCGACTCCGGTCTTACAGCAAGTTTAGGACTCTGTATAGAATTGTAGACCCTGAAATTTTGCACAATTTTTGGGACTTAATCGAATTCAAATGGCGGCTAAGAAGAAGCGAGCAGGTTCTAAAACTTCAAAATAAATCTCGCAGTTACATTTGTTACGTGAAGATAGAGATGATGTTAAGAAACAATACTGAAACAGGTTTCTGGTAAATGTTTACACATAATAACAATTACAATGGTTGGCTGAGTAAAGCCATATAACTTAATTAGATGCTACCTTTTCCACCGTGAGTTGTTATTTGGCTTATTCTTCGACCCTGAAGACGGAAGCGACATGTTCCCCGAAACATCAATTCACTTTCAACAAATACACGGTGACATGTCCCAGAATATAATATCATTCCGTACTTTTTTTTTTTTGAAATTGCGATACTCTGTGCCCACATTTACTATAAAATTATCTGAACATGTTTTTCGATCCTGAAGACAAAGTCACTCAGAAACGTCGACTGACTTTCAGCAGACAACATGGCGTTATAAGCCAGAAGATATAACTCTCCGTATAGCCAAATTTGTTTTGGAAACTACAAAATTCTGGGTCCATATTTACTGTAAATTTATTTGGACTTAAAACACCAGACAACTATATCGAGTTAGTATTAATGCCTCGTACTCTGGAGGTCCCGGGTTCGATAATCATCCAAGAAACCAGGTATTTTGACAGAGAGTACATGAGTTCCCTCAGCTCCCTTAGACATGTCATCTGACTCACTTTCTTTCCACGTTCTTTGCAATTTATCATCCAGACCCATCAACGTGTTCCCTGTTTGAGTGAGAGTCATTAAATGAACAAAAGGCTTGGCACTTACTGAGATGAACGCTGGAGTGTCCTTGAGATGCCACGAATTGTAGAAGAGCGAAAACTGCCAATATGGCGCCGATGATAATCTGAAAGTATAAAGATTAACTTCCAGCAGCCATGTTGGTCTCAGGCGCAATATTGGGCATGAGTTTCGGCCGGTAAATCTCTTTGCGGATTAACTTATATTACTGGTGTCTACGCCTTCATTACAGCGAGTAGAGTCTTAATTAGATTCTAAAGTAACGTGATATTAGCTTTCCAACTGTCAGCCTTCTTCTGCAGGCAAGCTGTAAGCTGAGAAAATTGAAGCCGCCCTGCAAACAAGACTGGTACGGATGCTAATTAAACGGTTAAGTGAGTTTAATGTTAGATGGCAGGATAATTCTCATATTGTGCCTTATTTTGGAAGAAAAAAAAATTTGAGTAGTCTGAAAATTACAATGTTTTAAACAAAAGTTCAGAGGTTAAAGATCTTTCCTTATCAAAGATCATTAAGAATTCTTGCGACACAGTAGTTGGCGTTCATTTAATATTAACTTTATAAACTTGATTATAGCCGGTCACGGTGGCCGAGCGGTCTAAGGCATGTACTGTCTTCGCTCGCTTGGAAACCGGGATCCTGGGTTCGAATCCCACTCAGGGCATGGATGTTTAGTTTGTGTGTGTGCGTTTTTCTGTGTTTGTGTACAGGTAGAGGCCTTGCGACGAGCTGATCAGTCGCCCAAGGAGTCCTACCGAATGTATAAGATCTAGAAAAACCGAAGTGAACGGAGAAGTTCTTGGAGGTAGGCCTAGGCCCACTGGGGCTGTAGTGCCAAGGGGGAAAAATGATTATAATCATAAAGCTCTGTTTGTATTACAATTAAATACTGATTAAAACGGAACTGGTATGTTGTGAATTAAAGAAAGGTCTTAAAAAACAAAAAATAAAAACAAACTCCATGGCCTATAGTCCGCTAGCGAACTATGCCGACCGAGCGACCGCCGCTTGTCAGCGAAGTTAGTGTCAACTTTAGCGGATAGAGGATGTCGCGTGGTCAGCGGAACGGATCCCCATGGCCGTTAATCTTGGTTAATCGCTATTTCCTTGAAATAGCTTCTGAATTATTCTCACGAGGCTGAGTGGACCCCGTTCCAGACACACTAGCTCTCAGAAAATCTGGTAGCGCCGGGAATCGAAGCCGAGAACTCTGGATGTGTAGCCAGGAACTCTGACCACTAGACCACAGAGGCGGTTAAGAAAGGTCTTACAATATTNATTTAAAATTGTTAGGGTTACTCGCCCTATGTCTAAAGTGCTGGAGCGGCTAGTTCTTGTTTCCACACTGTACAGGTGATATTCTGTGTAGTCTTCCTGTGTGCGTGCCGCTGCTTGTCTTTACTACGTGTGCTGATGATGGCCTGATGATGGCCGATAGAGGCCGAAACATGTAGTGTAGAAGAGAACAAGATCAAAGACATATAATATATATTGTTTGCACTTGGGACGGAGTTTGTATCATTTAAAGGTCTTACAGTTTATTTTATGTAATAAAAATATAGGAAGGAGCTAGAAATTGGAAGCAGCTTTTCAGATAAACAGATAAACACAATAACACCTGCTATTGCTAGCTTAACTTCGTTTAGTAAAGAGCAAAAGTCCATACTTACAAGTCAGTCGAACGCAGCTTTCATCTTACATTTTAGTGGACATATTTATATGTTTTGTTTTCACCAACTGATTTTGGACTCAGTTATGTAAACCAGTTACCACCAAGTGAAGTGGAGTTCTTACAGAAGTTTATAGTCTTTTGGCTGGTGAAATTTCCCATTCTTCATTGATTAACAATCAATCCGCTTTAATAAGCGCTCAGAATTAGACCCCACCGAAAGCCGGTTGAAATCAATCCACAACCTATTTTTGTAACATCCATTTTAGTATCATATTCTTAGCAAAACTACCGTGTGGTCTTTACCCTTAAGGGTTTCTAGTTAAAGTGGTATTGGAGTTCCATAAAAGGCGAGGAATTTTGTTGGCTAACTGCGCGATTATTTATTTTTCAGGAACGCTGAGCTATGAAGTTTCTTTCTGTAGTTTTCTGAGTTGGGGGTGAGACTGAGTCCACTTGGCACGTCGGCCACTAATTGGCCTACTGTACTAGCCCTGGGTGATAGATGATAAGTGTGGAGCAGCCAGTGGAATGAGAATTGGCAAGGGAAACTGAAGTACTCGGAGAAAACCTACCCCAACGTCACTTCGTCCACCACAAATCCCACATGACATGACCTGGGATCTAACCCGGGCCACCGTGGTGGGAAGCCAACGGCTAACCACTTGAGCTATGGCGCAACCAACTATGAAATTAGTTAATTATGGTTCTCTTTACCAGAATTTTGGCTTTACTTTTGTGTAAGTCACTTTACCTGAGTCTTAGTGGCCATGATATGGGTGTAACTGTTGAAAATGTCTGCAATCAACTGACATAGCAGTTCAGCCACAAGGCACTTTTATATTGCATTTGAAACTCCAGTAAAGTCACGTGCAGTGTGCAGGGCATGTTGAAATTTTCAACTGAATTCAAAGTTTTAAAACAATGTAGATTAATCTGGTCATTTCTTTGGTTGGTACCGCTGTCGCCGAACTCAATATCATTTAAAAGAAAACACGTGACCTTGGTAAAACGTGTAGTAAGAGAGTTATTTCTTTTCCAATTTTACAGTTCATAGGGCAAGAATAATTGCAACACAAGTGACCGGCTTTCATTAGTCAACGCGTGGCGCTGTGTGCGCGCATGCGCCGTGCATGCATTCCTCAGTGAGCGGCGTAGTTTTCACATATCAGTGGAGTAATTTCAGAGAAAGAGAGAGAGAGAGAGTTGCGTTATGCAATTTGAACCGGTGTTACCCAGATATTCAAACATTTCGGAACAACAGATGAAATATTCTCTCTTTTATTCCGAAGTTCTTTCTAGTGGCACACATTCGACTTGTTAATGTTCTGTTTTCTTTTTAATGTGAAACTTGGCTTCTTGCAGCTATATGGAAATAACACGAATTGTGGTGATCTCGAATTAAGTGCCCAGTAGAAGTAACAGGGGGCAGATGAGACAATGCAGTGAGAAGTTTCATATATTGTACTCTTCTCCTAGTGTTACCGGAATAATAACATCATGGGTTCCTCGTGGAGGTGGATTAGAATGCCTCCATCGTAGCCCTGCGAGTCGTAGAAGGCGACGAAAGGTGAACCTCGTCCCTGGGGCACATAAATACAGGGACCTGGTCCTCCAGGTTGGGGGTTTGACTCTAGGCTCACGACCTTGCTCTATTAAAAAAATATTACGAAACCGAAGAACTGAAAAGTAGATACTTTAATTCTAGGTAAATATGTCAGAATTTTATGGGGATTGTTATGGTTAAAAAAGTGATGTTTTCTCAATGACGATAAAAAACATAAAGGAAAAATTAGACGGGTGAAGGGGCACATATCGGAGAGGTGAGATATTAAGCGCATGTATAGATCCATGTTTTCTTGAGCTGGATATTAGCTGGAGGTGAGTGGTCAGCTTCACGCACCGGCCGCTTTACCCCCGGTAAGCATTGTATAGATCGCAGAGCCGGTCTAGACGATTTGGAGAAGAGCAAATTCTTGAACCTACACGGATTCGAACTCCGACCCCTCTGTCATCCAGCCTGTAGTCAGTACTTATATCCGACTAAGATATCCCGGCTCCTAATGTTACTGGTATAGTGGCCAAGGCATGGGGTGAATGGACGTAATATACAGGTTAGATAGGCCGCGCCATAGCTCAAGCGGTTAGTCGCTAGCTTCCCACCTGGGCGGCCTGGGTTCGATCACGGGTCTGGTCAAGTGGGATTTGTGGTGGACAAAGAGGCGCTGGTGCAGGGTTTCTCCGAGTACTTCGGTTTCCCCTGCCAATCATCATTCCACCAATTGCTCCACAATCACCCTCACCTATCATCTGGGGCTGGTATAATAGGCCAGAAGTGGCCGCAGTACAAGGGACTTAGTCCCACCCCACTCGCAATAAAAAAAAAAGGTTGGATAAGAGCTCTGACATCACCCTATTTCGAGCTGTCATACCAATAAATTGTTGAGCGTTAAAATGTTGCGTGAACGTAAGGATGAACTAGATGCTGAACAATTGAACAGGATATTTTCAGTGTATCGTGTCTTTCATTCATCAGTAATCTGTCAGACGACAGGTCCACAGTCTCTTCCAAAACAGTTCCTCCACTTAATGCGATCTAGAGCTTTCTCCTTCAAATGAGAATATCGTCTTCTGCCCCAAGGTCATCCAGCATCTTCTTACGTCTTCTTCCTCTTCTTCTGGTCACTTCTATCCTCCCTCTCTCGCATACATGGTATCTCTGTTTTTGGAAAGAGACTATCCAGGAAAAGTGATAATGTGGTAGTTTTTCCATTTGCTTTCACATCGCAGTACAACAGCCGTTCAAACCACTCTGGTCTCGCCTGTTGCTATACGAACTTGAACCATCTCGAGCATCATTTGCCCTGTGCTTCAAGTCACTGCTGATGACGCTGCTTCCGGCATCAGCATCGTGTCTATTCTGTGATAATTTATATTTTGATAAACGTATATGAAGTGTAATGTACTATATGAATGATGCGGTTTACGATTCACTATTTGTGCACGTTATTCGTGGGAGATGGCCTTAAATATCGGCCTCAGCTTATCATGCGTCAATATGCAAGACTGGAAAGAGAACATGGGAGAAATCAGGGCAACTTAATAGTACGGAATGCAATGTAACAATTCATAACAACCCCCCCCCCCTCACACTTGAGTTCTCGATTGATACTGAACTAGTAGATCAGTTTTACTTGTTATTTTCATTCGGCTGTGAAAATTGGTCTTTCAAACCAAGTTCGTAGGTTGAAAACACTGTGGAATAAAGAGCTTGTAATATATATATATAAGGTGCACGCGGTAGCGTAGTTGGTCGAGGCACTATGCTACAATCCGGAAGGTCGCAGGTTCGTATCCCAGTGAGGTCACTGGATATTTCGGTCCATCTAATCGTTCCAGCCGCACTGAGGCTCTTGGGTTGACTCAGCCTCTAACAGAAATGAGTACCAGGAATGTTCCGGGGGTAAAGCGCAGCCGGTGCGTAAGACTGACAACCTCACCGCCATCTGTGAGCCGATTGTTTAGAAAGGGAACCTCGACGTCTGAACTCCATGGGCCTTCACGTCCCGTTACAGGGATAGAAGAAACAGGAGGAAGACGATAATTACGCAATGTGGAGCTTCGCCGAATATGATTAAGTAAGGGCGGAGACGCGCGGACGCAGGTGCTAAATGCATACAGCCGAGTAACCTGATAGTAAGAGATCACATAGGAGACGTAGACATAGGTGGGGGGATAATATTAAAATGTATCTGCACGCTACACGGCGTGGTCTCGTTTATTATATTTCATCTGACTCACGACAAAATTGTGAACACTTTAATTAACGTCTTGATTCCATACAGGGCGGTGAATATTTTTGGCTAAGCCACCATCAGCTTTACTCAGACGAACTATATATATCATCATCATCATCATCATCATCATCATCAGTAATCTGTCAGACGACAGGTCCACAGTCTCTTCCAAAACAGTTCCTCCACTTAATGCGATCTAGAGCTTTCTCCTTCAAATGACAGTATCCTCTTCTGTCCCCAAGGTCATCCAGCATCTTCTTACGTCTTCTTCCTCGTCTTCTTGTCACTTCTATCCGCCCCTCTATCTTTCCTTCAATAACTTCTTTTAGAAGGCAGTTTCTGCGTAAAACATGACCAATCCAATTAGCCTTCCGTTTTCTTATTTCGTGTAGGATATTCCTCTGCTCACTGACTCTAATTAACACTTCTTCATTTCTCACATAATCGGTCCAAATGATCTTCTCCATCCTTCTCCAACACCACATTTCGAAACTTTCCAGATGTTTCTGATCTACTGCCCTAAGTGTCCATGTTTCAGCCCCATACAGAGCTATGCTCCAAAAGTAGCATTTCACTAGTTTCTTCCTCAAATTTAAGTCCAATTTGGTGGTAAAAAGATTCTTCTTGTTGCTAAATGCAGCTTTTGCCATGGCAATCCTGGATTTAATTTCACTAGTACACTTTCCATCATCTGTTAACAAGCTACCCAAATATTTAAAACATTTCACATTCTCCAGTTGTTTTCGGTCCATCTTTATTGTGACTGGGGTTGGTTGTCTCGAAATTTTCATTACTTTTATTTTTTCCACATTCATTTCCATGCCATAGCACCTTCCAATTTCGATTAGTCTATCAATCATGCCCTGTAGCACAGTTTCTTCCTTAGCATATATATTAAACAGAGATAAACATTAGTTCTTCTCAGTTTTGGATGTTGTGAGTCGAAACAAAATATGCTGCAAAATACAGTAGCTTGATGCTATATAGATATTCATGAAGCAGAGTACATTGCCGAAGCATTAATGCTGTCCTCATTATGCTAATAATGCTATTGAAGACTTGCAGTGAGAAACCGTAATGCCTCAGTCTGTAACACAGGATGATTGGTGTATCCTGAGCTATGAATCGGAGAGGAATTCTCAAATCCCCAATTGAACTGAAAGTATTTGTACGGATGTAATAGCCATTAAAGTTTCATGCTGAATTTATAGCAAGTACACACACAGTTCAGTGTTTATGTGTGGGGAAGCTTTCCGGAAAGACGTCGAGCTTTTATGTGACGGATTGAATGATTTTATTTATTTCTTCGAATCCCGACTGTTTGAGTATTTTTGGAAGTTGTCTCTGTCTTAAACGACCGTTTCTATGATCTAGTGGTCAGAATTCTTGAGTACAGATCTAGAGGTCCGGGTTCGATTCCCGGCGCTACCAGATTTTCTGAGAAGTAGTGGGTCTGAAACGGGGTCCAATCAGCCTCGTGAGGATAATTGAGGAGCTACTTGAATGGAAAAATAGCGGTTCCGGTCTAGGAAATCGAAATTAACGGCCGTGGGGAGCCGTTGCGCTCATCACGCGATACCCTCTATCCGCTAAAGTTGGCACTAACTTCGCCGACAAGTGGCGGTCGCTCGGTCGGTACAGTTCGCTTGCGGACTAAAGCCACGGAGAGTCTGTGCCTGAAACTGTATGCTCAAAACCAATTTTCATCATCACAGTCACCATCATAATATTAATCATGATCATCTATCAGTCAGATCTGGACCAATTGCTGATCAATCCATCCACTAGCCTCTTCGAAGAATTTTCCCGGCTCCTCTGACTTAGTAGTTTGAAATTCTGCAGTACTTTCGCAAGTCTATTTCTTTGCATTCTGCCCATACTTCGAACCCAGCTGGATTTTCGTTTCGAAAATTTTGTTCAATACGGGATCATTTTAGGCTATTTTCATTATTTAAGAAAGATAAAAGGAGGTTTATGAGGTCACTTTGATGTCTGG